AAACGTGCCTGCTTGAAGATGTGAACACTCAGATTTCTACTCTGTCCTCCTCTGCAACCATGCTTCCCCACCATTATGGACTAATCCCTCTGGAATCATAAGCCAAATAAACTCTCCCTTCTATATGTTGACTTGGTTATGATGTTTTATCATTCGTGTTAGTATCAGAGAGTGGGCTGTTGGTGTGAAGAATCTGACCATGTAGGATTTTGAAGGAATATGGAAGACTTAGGAAGTTTGGAGTAGAAAAGCCATTGAATGCTGTAAGCAGAGCTGAACAGGCAATTCTTAGTAGGAGCCTGGAAGAAACAGTGCTAAGAGCAAGGTATTTCCAAAGGGAAATAAGGACTTAAGCAGCAACTGGGATATTTTGGCAAAGCATCTGGCTATTGTTGGCCCACGGCCTAAGATCTTGCCTGAAGCTAAGTTGAAAAGTAGTAGATTAATTTCTTTGGTGGAAGAAATTTCAGGACAGTCTAACATTGAACTACTACTGTGGTTATTAATTGAGAATATCATGGAGATCTATAATAAAAAAAGAGCAGTGGAACAGAAAAAAATACATAATGTAGAGTTTGGATTGAAAAGAACACTAGGAAGATTAATGTTGGAGCAAAGCCATGTGCTGAAGGAGGGGCTGTCTTTGATAAGGACATTAGAACAATTAAGGAGAGGCTTACAGATCTACATTTAAAAGAAATATAAAGAGAACTTTCAAGGTAAGACCACTCCCAGCTGAGTCTCTACCTTGTGAAAGGAAAATACCACAGGTTTTCCGCTCCTAGAAAAGCTGCTAATGTGGTGAAGGTGAGAGTCCATGCAGGGCTGATACCCAAACTTGGCAGTATTGTTCATGTGGTGCTGGTTTTAGAGGAATGAAAGATTCAAGAATTAATGGGTCATCAATTCTTCTTCCATGGTTTTAGAAAGCTGCTAAGGTTAGGCAGCATGCAGCAGGGGCATCCCTGCATAAAGAAAGCCTTGACTGGCCACCACATGAAGTTGTAAAGTTGAAGCCTGGTTGGCAGTGGAGACCTCCAAGATGTTGTAAATGCTAGAGCCATGAGATATACACCAAGAAGAGCTGCATATAGTGAGTGGTATCAGCTCAAGAGAGAGATGCATGTTGTACACAGCAAAGCTGGAGGGGCTGAGCCACCTAAGCCTTTTGGAAGTAATGGCCCCAAAGTTGGACATGGAACTAATGGATTTTGTGTTTGCCCTGCTGGTTTTTGCTCTAGTTTTAGACCATTATTTCCTCACTATGTCCCCATTCCTCCCTTTTGGAATAAGAATGTGCATTTGATTCCATTGTATGTTGGAAATATGTAATTTGTCTTTTGATTTTACAAAGGCTTATAGTTAAGAGAATGCTTTAAGTGTCAGAAGACACTTTTGAGTCTGACCATTTTAACCAGTGTTAAAGACTATGGGGACTTTTGAGGTTGGACTAAAAGGGCTTTGCATTATGATGTCATAACCTTATGGGGGTCAGGGATTGGAATGTGATGGTTTGAATGAGAATATCCTCTATGGGCTCCAACTATTTGAACACCTGATCTGCAGTTTGTGGCACTAGTTTGGGGAGGGTCATGGATCCTTTAGGAAGTATGGCCATGCTGGACAAAGCATGTCACTGGGGTTGGACTTTGGGAGTTCTTAGGCCTTTCCAGATTTCCAATCACTCTCTGCTAACTTTGTCTGCTTGAAGATGTGAGCGCTCAGTTTTCTGCTCCATCCACCTCTGCTGCCATGCCTTCTCCACCATTATGAACTCTAATTCCACTGGATTGGTAAACCAAATAAACTCTTCTTTCTTTAAGTTTACTTGGTCATTCTGTTTTCTCACAGCAACAGAAAAGTAACTAATCCAGTATTTTTTCAGCTTGGGTTCAAAGTCTGTTTTTATTTTATTTTATTTTATTTTAAAGAGCTGATTTTTATTTTCTGTCTGAATGTTTGCCTGCATGTAGGTATGTATACCACATGTATAAAGTGCCTGTGGATCCCAGAAAAGGGTGTAGGAGTCCCTGGAACTGGAGTTGTAGATAGTTGTGGGATACCATGGGGGTGCTCTGGACCGAATCTGAGTCTTCCATAACAGCAGCAAATGCTCTTAAATGCTGAGCTATCTCTCTAGCCCCTCCAATTCTTTTTGTATATATCTCACAGTAGATTGAGATCTTGAGACATAAGCTAAATTTAATTCATAATTGTGTCCTCAAAATGTGGCTTTCCTGATAGGGCACTCACGAATTAGAACAGTCAAAGTAGGGGTGGTGGTTGGGAAAGCTTTAGCCAAGTGCAGAAGTTGAAGGTTTATGTAACTTATTTAGTATTGTCATGTTTAATAAGTTGCTACCTTGTGCACATAAACATCAAGAGGTGATAATGTTACTGGAATTCATTTTGAAAATATTATCTGATTTACTTTATTAGCTAAGGTATACAGTCACCATGGTTAAGGAGTGAACTCCGGCTAATCTCTAAGAACGAGGCACAGAATCAATTATTTGCATATTTCATGTATTTAAAAGTTGTTTTCCCAGCCAGGCACAGTGCTGCATGCCTTTAATCTTAGTACTTGGGAGGCAGAGCCAGGCAGATTTCTGTGAGTTCAAGGCCAGCCTGGTCTATATGGTGAGTTCCAGGCCAGCTGGGACTATAGGGAGGCCCTGTCTCAGTAAGACCAAAAAAGAGTTGTAACTGTAATAATATTTTATTTGTTGCTGTTGGGACTCTAGACATCTAAACAAATTCCATGTGCAAATGGAGTCTCTGGCTGTACCATTCTTTTTGTTATAAGTCAAAACTGCATAGCACATTACATGTATTGTACATACGTCAATTTCCAACTTTCCATTTTCCTTTCAACTCATGGCTATAAGCTCATATTCCCCTAGTTGTAGAAACTTTGGCTTTTGGACTCCTTATTTGGGTCTTGGTGGGAGAAAAAGACAATGTATTTGATTTATGAATCAAACTATTCCAAGGGAAGCAAATCAGTAGGCAGATCTGGAATCATATCATTGATAAACTTCCTTAATACCTTATCCAACACTTCATCTTCAAGGCAGCCCACCCACAATGAAGAATTCTTTGAAAGTACTCCAGAGAATAAAAACCTGCAACTCTTCCTTACTTGTTCCAGATGTTTACCCCGCTGAGTATCTGAAGCCCATTTGCTTTAGCACTATACTTAACACATGAAAATCTTCTCAGTAAAAAGTTTGTGTGGAGCATGTAAATCACCCTTCTAGCTTTTCTAGACTTTTTAGTTGTACAAACATGTCTCTACTATGCTGACAAGCAGTGCTAATGAATGCTAAAGGAAAATGTTTGAATTTCCTTAAGTATGTAAGTCCTCAAAGATGGCCCATGAGCTCCACTTGACTAAGTCCTTACAAAAACACTCTTAAACCTCTGTTCAAGAGAAACTTTTCCCTGAAAGTCTTCATACCCTGTTGACATTTCATGATCCATCCAGGCCTTTTCATTCGTATTAATCAGAATCATAGACAGCACATTTAATGCAAATCTAAGCTTTATTGAATAAGTAGGCAATACATAGAGATTGCAAGTCATTATTGGTCCATCTCAGATACAGGTGTTTATTCTGAGGCGAAATGAAAGCACAAACTGATAGCTTTACTGCTACTGAACTGTTTCATCAAGGTGGCTTGCTATGGACACAATCTCCCTCAATACCCATCCAGCAGTGTTTGGTTTCACCTCGCCCTTCCACTGAGAGATTCACAATATCTAAAAGGAAACCTGTAAAGAACACTTCTGTATCAGAGGTAGTTTTGCACCTGCATTATGCATCATAGAAGACATTTGATCAAAAACTCCATAAAACGGCCAGAAGAGATACACTAGAGCAGAGCTGAAATCTGTGATTTTTTTTTTCAAGCTAATTGGCCACAGTGGCAAAAGTATCAACCAAAATTTAGAATAGCCTTTTTGTCTATTTAACAACAAAGCATGCAGTAGCCCATGCAGATTATAGCTTTTAATGACAACCTTAAATTTGGCTTGAGCACCAAGGATGCATTTTAAAAAGTATTGGTTAAGAGAGTATGTGAGGGTGTAACTAAATTTAAGACCTCAAAATGAGGATATACATGTAGATAATCTGGATGGGTCGTCAGTTTCATCACAAATATCCTTCCAAAAGAGAGGTAGAGGTAGATTATATATACAGAGGGGAAGATGATGTGAAGGAAGAGAGAGATGAAGGCATACACTAAGGAATAATGACAGCCACAAGAAAAGATATAAGGAATGGATTTTTCACTAGGGCCTCTGGAAGGAGTGCTGTTCTGCCAATAACTTGATTTTGGATATATGGCTTTGAAAACAGTAAGAAGGAAAATACATCAGATCATTTAAACCACCAGGTGGGGTATTGCTGTAACAAATAAATACAAATGTGAAAGTGGCTTAGGACTTATTGGATGATGGGAAGAATGAAGAAAATTTTGAGGATAAACGTAATAGAAAAACTACAGATTGCCTGTACCAAACTATTGGTAGAAATGTGCATGTTAAAGGCATTTCTGGTGAGGGCACAGAAGGATATAAATATTTTATTGGAAACTGCAAGAAAGGGTAATCTTTGTTATACAGCAGCAAAAACACAACAGCAAACAAAAATCCAACAAAGTCATCTGAATTGTGTCCTACAGTTGCATGGAAAACTGATCTTGCAAGTGATGAAGTTTGGTATTTAGCTGAGGAGATGTGCAAGGAAAGTATTTTAGGTATGACCTAGTTTGTTCTTTCTGGAAAAAAAAAATGTTCTTAAGAGAGGGTGTGTGTGTGAGGGGAAGAAGGTATTCAACACATGTGACATAAAAGTGGAATGGGAGGAACTGGAGGGGAAGGGATGAAGTGGGGAGGCATGAGAGGAAAGGGGGAGAAGGAGTAACAAAAACAAAACATGCACGAAAATGCCATAATGAAACTCATTTTGTATGCAAATTTTTTTAAAAGTTAAAAAGAGGAAATGAAAATTTCAAAAAGAGAAAGAAAAAGAGAAAGAAAAAGAGAACAGGTAAACCAAAGAAAGAATCATTATGTCCAACAGGAAGCAGCACTTGATTTGGGAAATTCTTAGCCTGCTCTGATTACAAAAGATGCTAAAATTAGGAAATTCCTTGTGAGGAAAGTGTGCTATGGCACTAAGGCCTAGAATGTGGCTGGGCAGCTTTTGGATAGTGCTGAATAAATTAGGCACTCATCCCTGTGTTCACTCAACCATCTCCCAGAAACCACAAAGAGAGGCGAAGCTACCTCGGAAAGAACAGTGACATTCCCTTTTCTCAAATGGGTGAATTCACATGAAATACAAGGGAGCTGCACACAGTTTCTGAGAATGTGATGAGCAGCAGAAGCACTTTCAGCTTGGTCGGAAGGGGACAGGGATGCGGGAAAACCAGAGATGGCTGCCAGAGCACTGAACTTCTATAGGCGGAAAAGCAGCTACCAAAATTACTCAGCTGTATATACATGCTAACTTTCAGAAAAAGAAAGAAGCACCCCAATGGCTGAACCAACCATGGGTGCAAAACTAGAGACCTATGCCTGGGAGCAGAGGCCCAGTCCTCCCTCACAGACAAAAAGCTGCGGCCCCACACAGTGATATTCTGAGATAGAGGACTATTGCCAGGCCTTGAACCCTAGGGAGAACTGGTTTTTGAAAATTACTGGGACAGGTGAGTCCTTTCTATTTTCTGTTTTCTTCCTTTTGAAAAAGGAATGCCTCTTTCATTATTTCATGCCTGTTCCACTACTATTATAGAAGGAAACAATTTGTTTTCAATTTGTTCTTTCAGTGGATCCCAGGTGAGAAGGATATTTTTCCAGGATTGATCATATCCTAAGTTTCATTCACAGTTCGTAAAATGGTCTAGATTATTAGATTTGAACTAATGAATTTTGGATGAGACTTTGGACTTAGGGTTGATATTGAAATGGCTTAAGAACAGGGAATGTTGGAATGGAGTGAATGTATCACACATGGGACAATGTACATTTTTGGGTTCAGTGGCAGACTGGTGGGATGAGGGTGGTTACCTAAAGGACACACCTGTATCCTAATTCCTAGTTCCTGGATGCTAGCTTGTTTGGATGAAAGGTCTTAGAGATACAATACAGTTTGGGACCTGAGGTGAAGGATTATCTTGTTTTAACTTGGTGGTTCCTAAATGTCACCCATCAACATCCTTATAAAATGAGTAATCTTATAAGAGAGGCAGGGGGAGACCAGGTACACAGAGAAGGTGATGTAAAGAGGAACAGAGAAGAATGTGGTCATCAGAAGATGGACAAGGCAAAGAAGGGGTCTTCTTTACAGCCTCGGGAGGTAGCAGGACTGGTCTGACACCCAAACTTCAAGCTTATAGCCTCCAGGACCAAGAGAGAATACATTGCTGTGGTCTTAAGCCATCAAATTTATGGGCAATTGTTGTAGTATCCAAAGGGGAAAACATTTTAAGGATTTGGGTACCTGGTTTTTTTTTTAACATTCTGAAGAAATTTCATATAAATGGTATTTCTCATGTGTGGTTGAAATAAACAAAAAAGAGTTCATGATAATTTGGTTTTATCCTAAAAATACCACCATGTTCTTTCTATGATGATATTTTTTCAGTCTAAAATAAAAGTGCAAGTGGCTGGAACAGGAAAATTATAAATTGGGTAAGTAAGTCCTTTAACTTGATTTTTGGCCCCTGAAATGTTTCTTAATGTTTGTGAAAAGCATGTGGGATGCATTTAAATACAAATATATAATTTATCAACAATAGTATTTCATTCATTCTTGCTTACAAACTAGAAAATAAGGCAAGTTCACATCTGGAAAAGGTGATACACATCAGTATTTCAACCTTGACCAGCTAGATAGGTATGGCTGGGCAAATGCCCCCAAATTTAGTCAAAGTTTACATTTCAAAATCATTTTTTACAGCCTGAAAATTTATCAAAAACCTCAAAGAAGCCATACCAGAATATTTCATAAAATGCTTTTTAAAATAAAAAATGCACACAGTAGTTATTTACATCAATTAGTAGAACTGAAACTACCATGGTTATTGTTAAAAAAAATAGTATGTGAAAGTGGCATGTTACTTGTGTTTGTTTGTGGTGTATGTGTGTGTGTTTTCACGTAACAAAAAGGAAAACCTCAAATATTGTTACCTTCTGATTTCCCTACTGTAGCAGCTTCAGGGTATTTTGAAGTAAAATACCCAAATAAGAATGCATTAGAAGAAAAGGCAACAGATTAAATTACTATACATCTTAAAAAGAAATCTGTGAGTTATTGGTCACGTGTTTACATTATCTCAGAACATAACTTGCCAAGCCAGTCATTTGTTCTTTTCTCTGAATGTCTGTAATGTGCTTTGGAGAAGTAGAAATACAATTTTCTACATAAGAAATGTACATATAAGAAATCTTTCACAGCAATCACAATCATCTTGCATGAATTAGCCTTAAAATTATACTCCAGGAAGTTATACTAATTATTACAACACATAGTTTAAAATAATAGACAGGATAAGTATAACTTTTATTCTCTCATCTATTAAAAAATGCTGAGCTTCTTTCTCTCTTAGAGTTGTTTTGGCAGCATCATTGAAGTGTGTAAATAATATAAGGTAAGTAAGCATAGTGATGACAGAGCGGTTTACCTTGTTACTGGGATATGAAATTATTGTCGTAAGATATAAATATGTACATACATAATATACATACATACATACATACATACATAATACATACAGAGAATTGCTTTTTCTTCTTCTACTTCCAAAGTAGAATTGGACTGGGCCTTTCAGCTTTCTACTGCCCCCTGCAGAAAGAAACCTCTTTTCGAGGTCTTCTGGAATTCTATTTTCTGCCTCCAAGGGGATTAAAGGAGAAAGAAACAATAGAATGAAGAAATAGGAATTGACATTTTCCTTTAAAACCTAAATGAAGACAGCAGAATTTTCATATTAATCTTTAGCATATACATGAAAATGTAGAGCTTTTCTAAAAAATAGACATATAAAGAATTTCTATAAAGTAGGTATCTATGCATAATTAGAAAATACTTCTTTAAATAAAGTTTAAATCCAGATTCTGTTAGACTTTGGTTTATTTTTAGCAATGACAAGTGCTTGTGATATCATGCTGAAACACTAGACTAATGATAAGTTTAATTTCACCCAAAGTAGATGAATCCATCAGCTTTCACTTGAGATCAGATTCTAAATAACTTGACTGGGGCGGAGCAGTACTTTTTTGAATTCCCTAAACGGCTTCTCTTACAGTGTGTGCAATATTAGCACCTTTCCAAATCACTAGCATGCATATTTTCTTAGACCTTTCATTTTATAGATGAGAAGAGCTGGAAGCAGACAGAGATTTCCGTCTATTCCTTTTCTTTCCTCTTACTCTATATTTTTGTTTCTTTTCTTTTCTTTTCTTTTCTTTTTTAATGGGAATGACCTAGAAATTTCAGTTTTAAAAACTGACAGACTTTCATCTTCAGAGTCAGGTCATACACAATGACAAATAATATATGTTTTTACACTACAGTGGAACAAAAGTTTTCTAATCATGACAGCTGTGTTCAGATTAGTGTAGTTGTAGGAGGAGCCTTGTAGTAGTTTCACAAATATACACTGCTTCATCCAGCTTAGCTTGACCTTTGTGGAAACATTTATTTGCACTCCAATTCTTAAGTGCATGTTTTGTTCTTCTCAAATATATGATTCTGTTTATTTAAATATTGCCGTACACTCTGGCGTCAGGAATCACTTGGAGGACATTGCTCCATTGTGGCGAGAGCGTGATCTTTCCAGAGGTGCCCGTCTGTTGTCTGTAAGACAAAAAGAAAAACCAAAACCATGATGAGCTTTAGGTCTTTACTATTGCACAATGTCAGGTTGAGAGAGGCTTTCAAAGTCTTGAAAAATCACATCAAATGAATATAGAAATAAGCAGCAAGGATCCCGGATCTGAGGCATTCAGGCTGCAGCTGCGAGACTGAGTACAAGAGTTCTGCAATCTCCAATAAATGAGTTTTCTTGGTAAGCCAAGTCAGAGTGATAAAAGAAATGGAAGAATTTTCTTAAGCACAGACCCCTTGGAAATAAGTAGGTGACAACAAAATTCTTTGGTAAAGATGTTCAATTGTAAGGACCAACGTACAGTGCCTCATGCGCTTTCAATTTATATGTTGGCTACCCCTAGAGGACACCAGCATGGGCAGAGTGAAAAGGAAAAAGGAAGGAGAGAGTGTTTTTATTTTTTACAATGATTGGAATATATGGCAATCAAGGCAGCTACTGAGTTTGCCTGATTGTATGTTGGAAACAAATTCAATATAGTATATAGTCATTATGGGAATGAATAATGAATGGGACCTATTTTCAGTCCCATTCCCCCTACCCATCATGTGAATAATAATCACTGTAGAGATAACTGTTGGCACAAAGTTTGGAAAGCAAAGTTTGAAAGCACTGAAAGTTGCTGAAAATAGTTTTAGTTTTAATAGGAAAAAGGTTTACAGCTCTGCATCGCACTGATCACTACTATGTTATTATCACCTCTGTTTTATACTCAGCTTAAATGCAACTGATGTGGGTAAAAATCTCTTTCTGACAAAAGCATAACGTATTTAGATTCTCTATTTAGAATGAGACTAGGTCCCCAGAAATAATGACAACCACCAGCACTTACATAAATGCTAACACTTTACTCTCATTAATTTGCTAATTCACACAACATCCCCGGGGGGAGGTAAGCCCATTTCATTCTATCCTATTATCTCTGCTTTAGTGAAGAAGGTTACACAGCAAATCAATGGTATGATGGGAGATTATAATGCGAAGTTAATGCCTAAATGTCAGGCCTGCTTTGTTCAGAAGTAGCTGTTGGGGCCTCCTGAGCTGCTACTCATTTTCTTCCTATGATGATGGCACACTTGCATATCCTGTGTGTCACATGGGGAGGCTGGACTGTGAAGTGCTGAAGTTTTGTCATGATGCTTTTCTTGGCTGTGCTAGCATCTCTTGATTGATTCCCAGTAGTCTGCTGTCAATACACAGAGCAAAACTGACTTGCTCCCATGACCTTGGCCTCATTAACACCACCTTGTGAGAGCACTGACCCAACCCACCAAAAGCTTAAAGCCTATACCGTGCTTCAGGAAGGTGAGAAAGCAAGAGTCTTTCTGTATTTGGAGATACATCAGAGTGGTGCATTATTTGGATATCCCTTTGAAGGCACCATTGAAAAAAATCCATTATTTAATTTATGATATGGATCACAATTCAGGTAAAAATGTGAAGATAACACTCCTGGATAAAAGGATTTTTACTTAGATGGCACTAGTTTGCGTACAGATTAGCTTGGGACTTCATAGAAAACATTTAAAACAAAGTACAATAAATACAGTGGCTCCTAGAGTACTGCTAGCATTTAAACCTGCAGTATTATTCCCAGATAACAGAATGATCGGGCATTCTCACATATTGTGCTAGCTCAGATAAAAGACTGATGCCTTGGCAGCCCTACATGGTAAAGTCCATAGGCATCCTTGCTTCCGTGCGGGAATGACACCCCTACCCCATAATGGATGAACATCTTATGGATGCCTGCTGAAGCCAGAAGAGGGCATCAGATCCCCTGGAACAGGAGTTACAGATGGTTGTTACCCAACATGTGGATGCTAAGAAATAAACCCAGGTCCTCTGCAAGGGCAGTCAGTATTCTCAACTCCTGGGCCATCTCTCCAATCCTTTCTTTCTTTCTTTCTTTCTTTCTTTCTTTCTTTCTTTCTTTCTTTCTTTCTTTCTTTCTTTCATTTATTTATATTTATTTATTTATTATTATTGTTGTTGTTGAGGTTGTTTTGGTAGTTAATTTCTTACTGTGTGGCCCAGATTCATCTAGAACTCACAGTCCCCTGACCTCTGTCTCTTGAGTGCCTGTTGGAGCTAAGCATTCATCATTTATATTTTCAGTTAAAACATAACACTTTGGCTGGTGTTGGAGCACAGTGGTAGAATATTCTGCTATCATGTATAAGGCTCTGGGTTTAATCCCCCCATAACAACATATATAAAAGTAATTTTAAGGCATATTTCAGCATTGAACATCATGTTATAATCATAAAACACCTCAAAGATAACATAATTTGAGAAACAAACCCAACAGATCCTACATTTATCCTAGAGGTAACTCAGACTCGAACTATGTTAAATGCCAGACAAGAGAAATGATGTTCAGGCTGCTAATGAAGTGTGTGTATGTGTGTGTGTGTGTGTGTGTGTGTGTGTGTGCATGTGTGTGCAAGCATGTGTATGTGTGTGTGTGTGTGTGCAAACGTGTGTGTGTGTATGTGTGTGTATGAGATGTATGTTGTTGGGGATGGAACCCGGGGTCACCTGCAGGTGAGGCAAGTGTTTTACCACTGATATAGAATATACCCCAACCTCTTGAATGATGCTTTTAGGAGTTGTCAGGTTCCTCATTTTGTTGAAAATTTAATGAGGCCTCTTTCCCTGTCTTCTGATCATGTTTCTTGACAGCTTGGCCACTTTTCTTTTGGAAATAGAGCAAAGTCCAGCAGTATCCATAAGGGCATCACCAATTATATCTAGGCATCAACTCCCACTGTTTTGGCCTTGTCAAAAGTGTGAGTTACGACAATTAAATGTATACTTTTGTTAGCTATTGATAAATTCTACTACTTTTAATTTGTGAACTTTATTGTCTCATATTTTTCAGTATGTCTCACAATTTGGGCATTGACTATATGTCATAGGTATTATACTATATTTACCTGCTTTATTTGAATGGAATTATATACACAGGATGCTGTGCAAAAAGTGCATATGTAAGAGCCAATCTATTACCTCCATTTAACAGTTGAATAGTTGTAGCCCTATTCTAATATCAATGATACTATGATGTTTTTAAACGTAGAAAAAGGGCCATGTTGCATAGTCTATATTCTTCATTAAATGCAAATAAATCCACGTACAGAAAACAGAAACTCAGATTACTATGGTAGTTCAGGTTTGCAGGAGAGGAAAGTTACTTTAACGATGATGGTAATGGAAAGCAATAATGCTATAATAGTTCAGAGGCTACTGTGACTATAGACACATAACTCCCATTAACTATAATTGGAGTTAAGCACATGTAATGATAACAAAATAGATCCCTAAATGCCTTTCCAATTGGAAAATAAGCAAATGTGTTCCAGGAAATGGCATGCTTTTATGTGGAAAATACAATATTCTAATTGAGATGCATAAATTATTTTCACATTGATATTGCTGAAGGTATGATTTTTCCATTTTTTCTATGTTTAGGGATATAGATCTGTTAGAAGTAACATCTGTACAAAGAATGAAAATGTCTTCCCTTTTCTTAATGCTCAGCATTCGTTATGTTATTAAAGGAAAAGTCTCAATAGTTGCAATGGATTTATTAATTCAGTAGCTTGTTATCAGCATGAAACTCTGCTGTGCTGGGGGAAAAGAAAATTATATTTTATAAAACTGCAGTAGTGAGATTAAATCACTTTTCTACATTTCACTTTCTTCTTATCCTCTCTGCCAGGTAGCAACTCTGCTCTCTATCTCTATTATGAACTTCGTATTTTGTAAACTATCAAGTCTTGTAGTAATATAAAGGTACATTATCAAACAAACTCAATTATAGTAACTTTAGAAGGATATAAATACACGATAAAAGTAAAATCACATAGTACAATAATATTACCTCAAGGCATGAAGATTTAATCCATATTAAACTACAAATGTACAAACTATGTGATAGTTACCTTTACCACAAACAAGATAGTTTTATAAAATGTGCACCCAACTAGTTGGCATTTTAACTGGATAACATTTACATAATTGATAACTTGAGTATTCCAAAGGATCTTAGAAAAATATGGTGCAGATAAAAGAAAATCAGGATACTGTCAGTATTTCAACTGCCACTGACCTTGTTATTGATTATCCTTGGACTCAATGTCAAAGCTGGTGAACAGATTGTTTAATGTCCTTGGTTTTGTACATTAGTCATGCATTATATTCGCTTCTTTACTACAGAATGCAACTTGACCCTAAGTCTCTGAGGATGAAAGTCTAATGAGTACATCTGCATATCTAGAAAATATAGAATATACTAACAAATAAAAATATGAAGAATTTCAGAAAATAATAGGAAAAGCTTCAGAGGAAATTAGATGAGTAAAGCTTATGCTGAAGAGTAAATAGGGAAACTCATGAAAACCGTAGCAGGGCAGTTCAAGGTACCCATCACAGTGGCTTATAGGCAGTGGTTTCTTAAAAGTCGTCTGTTGTTTCAACAATCATCCACTCACTCGCAGTGAATCAGGAAATGATTCTTGAATTCACCTTCAGGCATGCAGCCTGCATAGAGGGCATATATTTTGCCATGAATACAAGGAAATACTTCCTCTGTCCATCTATTATTGAGCTATAAATTGTTACTGCATAAACCATCCACAGGGTACCGTAATAAGAACTCTTATACATCACTAGGGTGGAAAGGACAAATGTACCAAAAACAATAGCATGAAACTAAGTATGTGTCTCTTGTAACATCTACTTTATTCTAAATGCAGTGAAGACTCAGAGTGGAGGAAAATTGTATTTCTTGAGTGCAGGAGTTGAGGGTCAGGCAAAATTTCATTGTGAATAGGACTTAAAGGATAGGTGCGATTTCAAAAAGGAGAATTAGTGAGATAGCTGTTAATTTTTGACTGATAGAAAAAGTGAGTTTTAGTTTCTTATATTGCTGACCATTCAGTTACCAAAATTTTCCTATTGGGAG